CATCCTGCCAGTGTGTGTGAGTGTGGGTGCCTGCTCACACTCACATACAAACACACATAACACTGCATAGCTAATTAGCTGAAACTGTGCAGGTGAACTGGGCCAGAGCTTCAGATCCTGAGCAGGATGAGTGAGCAGTGGATTAAACCTGTGTGTGATTGTAGACTTAGTAGGGTGGAAACATTTGAAATTTTTTAAACCAATTCAATGTGAAGCTGGAGTTCAAAGCAGCAGAGATGGGTGCATGTCAGTCCGAAACGAGCCTTTCGTTAGTGCCTTGGATGTAAACTAGCATGGCTGAAAAGTCCTCAAATAAACACAACATAAATAAACTGCAGGAAGACTGGCGTGAACAGACAGATAGTCAAACTCTTGAGAAACAATTAAAAATCACCAATTAAAATTTCAGCTGTGGGCAGGACATTTCCCAAAAACTTCACAGAAAACTGCTGCAACTCACTAATCACTAAATGTCTTTGTAATACACAAGCAAAAATTTATGCACTAGGCCACAGTTAATGTTATTTACTACCTCTGATGACAGTGAATTCATGTCACTTGTGAGAGTTTGCAAAAATATTACTATTACTATAAACAGTGCTGGTTGTACAGTCGAACAGCAGCAGGAAGGAAAGACCTGCAATGATGCCCCTTCTTACATTGGTGAAGCAGCTTGTCACTGAAGGAGCTGCCCAGTGCTGCCAGAGTCTCATGCATAAGACTCAGTTAGGAATGTACAAGTTTGTTGGATGTGCAGAGAACATATTACATATTACAAATAAAAAAATTACCTCTTTGTGAGGCAAGGGAAAGTCTTCAGTGGTTCAGTGGAACCAGAGAACACTTTAGCCTTAAAAGACATCACTTGACAGGTGGTAAAAATTCATGACTTTGTCCACTACCAAATTTTAACAAGTTGTCACCACATAAAACTAATACACTGCTGGATTGTTTTATATTGATATTGTATTTTATATTGATGTTGAAATGTTATATTGACATTGTTCTGTGTTTATGACTTTTCAGTTTTATATTGATGTGTTGGTTTTATATTGATGCGGTAAGGTTTTGTATTGATGTGTTATTGTTTCATCTTAATGCTGAATTCATTTCTATTGATGATGGGTTACCGTGACCCAGAAGGATAAGCGGTTTAGATGATGTGTGTGTGTGTGTGTGTGTGTGTGTGTGTGTGATGATGGGTTTGTTTGTTTGTGTTGCTGTTTTTTGCATTTGCTTTGTGTTTAATTGTTTCAGAGTGTATTGTATTGTATTGATATTATATTGTTTTCAATTGATAATGTAGGGTTTTTTATGATGCTGTGTGTTTTGTTACCCAAAGCATGTGCACAGATAGACCCTAGGGGAGGGGCTCAAGTCCCTATCCTTTAGCCCTCCGACTATACAAGTACCCCTTTGGCCACTGTGTTTAATAAAAGTGTCTTATATGGCAATTTTCAAAATCCGTTTCAGTTCAGCTTAGCTCTGCTCATCGTCCTTCCAGGAATAGAGCTTGGGGGTCAGCTCGGGTTCCACAAGTTTCATCGCTCTTGGGTGCCACCTCTGGTGCAGTACTGAAACTGTGGAGATTTCACCTTAGTCAACTCTACCAATCTGCAAGTATCATCACATTTAAAGAAAAAAAATCTTTCAATCGGTGTCACATTACATTATGTGGGTATTTTGAACAACAATCAAACATAAATTTGGCTCTTGAGTTAGAACTTGCCAGTTCAAAACAATTACATTGTGTGTTGAGTAACATTAGAGCCTTCTGTAATGGATACTGGGGTTCAAATCTCTGTTCAGCTAGTAATGCTGGTATTTCAGGCTGACTTGATCTCCTGCCCCCATATGGTCTGTGCACAGGCCTGTTGTTACCAGTACTTGAATCATGAACACATAAACCTACTGAGGTGATTCCAATGCTCTTGGAAAGTTATTCAGTGTGCTTAAAGAAATAATTTGTAGAACATCTAAAATTGTCCAGTTGATTTTGGCCATACAGTCATAGAGTCTGATGTAACAACCCTGTTTGTGACAGTTTAGTTATTTGAAAATGCCTGCTGCCCTTTACATTGTGGGAGCATTTCATGAAAAATGAACCAATAGAAATTACCAAAAGAAAATCTCATTATTTTAACATCAAAGCTGTACACTAATGCTTTGCCATCTGTAAATTTATCATTTCAAAGATATGAGGTTTTATTATGACACAATACACAGTATATGTAAGAAATGGTATAAATTTGTGATGCAGATTTTCAGAAAGGAAAATTTCTTAACAGAGAATCAAACCAAAATTCAGCACACATTTGGCTAAAAACCAAAAGAAAGGGTTCTTTTGTATGTGGTTTACCATTTTATTTATGTATATGAATTCATAATGCTTTAAAGGTGAAAGTAACAATGTTGACAAAGTGAACGGAGAGAATTAGCATGCTCATTTAATATTGAACCACCTGCCTAATAACACTAAATATTAAAACCTGTGTAAAAATAAAATATATGATACATGCTTACCCAAAGGCATCTAAAGTTCACTTCCAGAGCACCTCTGCTATAATGATGGAAAATGTCTTGTTTTTTTTAATATGTAAAGAACAGGAACATGGCTTTGCCACTCTCACCTAGTAGTCTGAAGATTCTCCAGCAAAGGTGATTTTAGAGCACAAGTCGCTTTAGTGATTTTCATTTGAAAAAACTCAGCAGGTTGTAATGAATGCACATATTTGCAAGCAAGAAGTAAAAATATTTATTATCAAGTAATATTAAGTCACTTAGTATTTTTTATGTAATTCTGTAAAATAATTTTATAACACCAGTTAATGCTAAAATATCTGTAAAGGACCATATTGAACACAGCTGTGGTTGATTTCTGACACTGTATGACACACTTATCTATAAACATAGACAAAAGTACTTTTACTCTTGTGTTTGAACACATCTGTGCTAACTGGAAAAGTAAAGGGAACAAGCAGCATTTTTAATCACTATTTTTCTTGATTTAGTTTTTAGTCATTATTTGTTAAGCGTTTGATTCAGTTTATTCTCTACATACATAATCTTGTGCTTTTTCTGGCCAATTTTTAATGTTTTTTCTCTTTTACCCAAAACCAAAAGTGCTACTTTTGGTCAGTTTTGGCTGTTTGATATGATGTAGTATAAATATAGTAGTAATATAGGACAAATCACAATATGTAGGAAATTGTATAAAATCCCACACTGTAAAAATGTCTTGGCAAGTGAAAGCACCTTACATGTATTCAATACATCAAAAATTTGTCATTAAGAGACCTGCATCTTACTCTGCCATGAGATAATTTTGCTTGTTTAAAAAAAAACAAGCAAAGTGCATGGTGCACACAAACAATTTTACTCTATAAGATGTCTTTACATAAACAAAAATGTCAGGAAGAAAAATTATCAATCTTATATTATTCTTACAGCAATTTTATAACGAGAAATATCAAACATACTGCCTATATTTAAGATGCTTCACTTGTCAAGGTACCATGCTAGGGACAATTCTCTTATATCTAATGTTTAGGTTGCTGTGTGTTTGAGTTGTAAATTGTAAATTGTATTTTTCTATTTTACACTCTGAAGCGAGTTAGCTAACAGTCTCTCCACTGTTTCTCTAAAAAACTGGATACTTTCAAGTGACTTCATGTTATTAAATAAATAATAGAGGATATGTATTATCTATCACTCCATCTGACCAGGGATTATCTATCTATTATGTATTTTCAGGTGTAGTTTATTCATTACAGCAAAACAGAAATCAGCCCAGTCTTTGGTTAAAAAAAGTAGCCATCCTGTAAGTGCCTGTTTAAGGGGGCTTGCTCTGAAAGAGAGAGAGAGAGAGAGAGAGAGATAGAGAGAGAGAGAGAGAGAAAGAGAGAAGAGAAAACTAACAAGCAGCAGCAAATTTACTAACAACAGAGAGCAGCTCAGCAGAAAAGAACCAGGGTTTACTCATTACATTTCTGTCTCATCTTCATTTTTTCTGAATGTGCAATTCACAATAGCTGTTTGTAGCATCATTGGTTACCAATGATGGGCAGGGTAGGGCAGGGTCAGTTGAAGAGAGGGCTCACAGAAATATCTGACTGTGTATGTGTCCTGCCTTCAAATTCACTTGGTTCTACATATTACCAAGTGGTTATGTAATTACTTTCTGTTAGATAATGAATGAGGTGTTGCTGTTCTTCATCAGGAGCTAATGATGGTCAGGAACAATAAAAAATGAAACAATGGTAACTCATTATTAACCCAAAAGAACCCATGGTGACATATGGGTCACAAACACTTTAAAAGGTCTGGAAAGTTCCTTAAACAGCTTTAGCCTTCCCCTTGTCCTGATGATGTCCCTAAGTGACATATACTGAACGTCCTGGATGCAGTCATATGACAGTTTGTGAATTTGTGTTCATGTGACCTCATTAACAAAATGGTGGTGTGCTTGGTTAGTGCATGAGACCAAACCAGCTGAGTTTAAAAGTGTTTTATTTGCTTCTACAGGTATGTTCCAACCCATTTGACAATTTTAATGCTTTAATAACATGTCCTATATTACATATAACTTATTCTGACCCCATTTCTAGAATAAAATAATAAAATACAAGTTGCAAAATTGTGTTGTGACATATATGTTACATCGGGATTTTATTCTTAAAATAGTTACAGAAGACGCCATGTGACCTCCTTGTCACAATAAGAAAAAATTTAATTATCTGCCCAATTAATTTGACTGATTCTATTATTTTGTATTAGTATATGTTTTTGTTGTTCAATTCAAAGCATATTTAAACAAATGTAAACAGAAAAATAATGTAAAATCAGTTAAATTAGTTATAAAATGTATTGTGATACAATTTTTGTGTATCAGTTCTGAAATTACACCTTGGCTTTAGCTGAGACGCTTAGTTTGGTAAATAAAACAAACAAAATTTTTACTATGTTGATCTTATTTAAATGTAGTTTTATGTACTTGTAGTATGAATACCAAGAACCGATACAGTCTTCACGATGCACTCAAGATCATCACTGGAGATGACAGTGAGTTTGAGGGATGTGAAGATAGCTCAGATGAAGACCCTGTAGACCCTGAAGACCCTGATTACACTCCAAGCAACAAAGACATGGAGAGTGATGAATCAAGTGGGTCTGATGATTCAGACAGTAGTGAATCAAAGGATTTAGATGATGTACAGCAACCAAACATGAACCCCAGTCAGCAAAATACAACCATCCAAGGAAAAAAAGAATTTTCTTGGAGAAAGAAACCTTTTGAAACCCCTGAATGCACATTCAAAGGACAAAGTGTCACACCTCCAGAGAATCTTCATACTCCACTGGAGTATTTCAGAAAATTCATAACACAAGAAATGCTTCAGTTACTGATGGAACAAACAAATTTGTACAGTGTACAAAAATCTGAATCTCACAGAAATGTTAACACCACTGTTAAAGAGTTGGAAATATTGATTGGTCTTTACCTGCGCATGGGTCTTTGCCAATTGCCAGGAAATCGTGCATACTGGGAAAATGACACAAGGTGCCCCATGGTGGCTGACAACATGTCACGCAACCGTTTTCAGACCCTGCTGTCTTGTCTACATTTCACTGACAACACTGATTTGTCAAACAGGCAAGAAGAGGATAAGTGTTGGAAGATCCGTCCATGGCTTAATATGTTTCGCAGACAGTGCCTAGATATCACCCCAGAGGAGCACAACTCTATTGATGAACAAATGGTGCCATTCAGAGGGACATACAGCCCAATAAGGCAGTATGTGAAAGGCAAGCCCCACCCTTGGGGATTGAAAATTTGGGGGCGCTGCTCTTCCTCAGGAATCCTCTGTGATTTTGTGGTCTATCAAGGTGGTACTGGGAAGAAAACCTTACTTGGCATGGGAGGTGATGTTGTGGTCAAGCTGTGTGAAACACTCCCATCAAACCAAAATTACAAAGTATTTGCTGACAATTTTTTTTCTTCAGCACCACTGGTGCTCAAGCTTCTTCAGCGAGAGATCTACTTTGTAGGAACACTCCGTAGCAACCGGTTGGCTGGATGTCAGCTTGAAGATGAGAAAGATCTTGCCAAGAGAGGCAGAGGATCCTTTGATGTCAGGGTGGAGAAAGAGGAAAGCATTGCCATTGTCAAGTGGTATGACAACAGGTCTGTTACCCTAATCTCATCCTACTGTGCAATTGAGCCTCAAGACAAAGTACGACGCTGGAGCAAATCAGGCAAAGCGTTCGTGGAGGTCAACAGGCCACACATTGTGAACGAGTACAACACATTCATGGGGGGAATAGACCTCCTTGATGCATGCGTTGCAAGGTACAAGTACCACATGAGGTCACGGAGATGGTACCTCTACCTGTTCTGGCAAACCATCATGTTAGGCCTTGTTAATGCATGGTTAATCTACCGCCGTGACTGTAGACTACTTGGTATCCAAAAGCCACTGAAACAAAGGAGCTTCCAAGCAGAGGTTGCCACTAGCCTGATTCTTGTCCAGTCACAAAGAGGTCGCCCATCACGTAATGCCACACCTCCTCCACCACCACCACCACCACCCAAGAGAGTTCGTGTTGGAGTTCCGGATGATGTTCGCATCGACCAGGTTGCACACTGGCCTGTGAAATGTGACAAGCGTGGTCGTTGTAAAGTCTGCAAAGTCAATGCAACCACCACCCTCTGTGAGAAATGCGATGTGCGTCTTTGCTTCACTGAGGAAAGAAATTGTTTCAAACGTTACCATTCGGCTTAGGCCACATTGCAGAAAATGCTTATCAGACATAAGAACTGATAACGATGGTTCGAAACAACACCTCCACCACCACCCAAGAGAGTTCATGTTGGAGTTCCAGATGATGTTGGCACAGACCAACCACCACCCTCTGACGTGCATCTTTGCTTCATTGAGAAAAGGAATTGTTACAAACATTACCATTTGGCTTAGGCCAAATTACGAGATGAAAGGACTAAAAACAATAGTTCACACATGGTGCTAATAACACAAAAGTTTTGTTTCCCTTAAGCGTTTCTCAACAATTATTTAATTCTGAACTTTTTTTTTGCACTATGTATGTGTTTTTGAAAGTTCACGATAAGTCTTTTTTCAGTTTTCTACAGCTACAGTAGCATGTTGAGAAAACCTCTGATATGAGGTCTTTTTTTATTTTATACATTTTGCACTTTTATGTGTTGTAAAACAAATCTGAAAAATACTGTTTTGTCTGGCTTAACCACCAGTGTTGTGAAAATGCAAATAAAAAAGCAAATTTGTATTTTATCTGTATTATTAAGCACAAAAAAACTCAAGCTGATTTATTGTTAAACATGGCATTTATTTACCGTAAACGCCCAATGTGACATACATGTAACATTACAGATTTTGGACAATAAGTGGTATATTTAAAAAAAAAAAGTCAGAAATGTGTTCTAGGTGGTCCATTTGGTCGGTTTTATATTCCTCATAATTTTCCTTTAAGGTGAACTGGGTCTGGGTTCTTATGGGTTAATGAACTAGGAGTTATTGATGATCAGGAACAGTATAAAGTGAAACATATGGTAACTCATTACTAATGAACTAGGAGTTATTGATGATCTGGAACAGCATTATAAAGTGAAACACATGGTAACTCACTATTAATGAACTAGGCGTTAATCATGAACAGGAACAGTATTTTAAAGTGAAACACATGGTAACTCATCATTAATGAACTAGGAGTTATTGATGATCAGGAACAGTATTATAAAGTGAAACACATGGTAACTCACTATTAATGAACTAGAAGTTAATCATGAACAGGAACAGTATTATGCAGTGAAACACATGTTAACTCACTATTAATAAACTAGGGGTTAATCATGATCAGGAACTGTATTATAAATTGAACTACATTAGAAATAAAAAAACCCTGTAGAAATTATGTACTGTAGTACAAAATTAATAATAAACAAATTTTGAAAAAAGTAAGAGTAAGTAAGTTGTTTATTGAGTCATTTGTGAACGGTCCAAATGTGAAAATATCCTTGGGTTAGCTAGCTATATCACTGAAAATAATACACCCAAACAAAATGAAATCAAAATCTGTCATTACTACTGAAGGAGGAAGTCTGAGAGCTGAGACCAATCACAGTATATTCTGCTAGTACATTAGTTACACATATTTCTGTTTCATATCTGAGGCACAATATTTTACTGCCTATTAGCTTAGCTCACATTAGCTAAATTAACTAGCTAGCTAACATGCACTCATAACAGAACATCATCAGCAGCTTTAGGTTTAATAAAGCACTAACATGTGCTTATAATTCTGAAACAACACAATTATACGTACCTACTTAGCTCAGATTAGTTAGCAAGTCAGCTAACTGTGTCTGTACGTTAGTGCTGCAGTCTGAATAAACCCTTGAATCTGAATCAAAAGTCTTACATTAGCGGCCTGGGGTTCTGTCATGAGTCTGATTCACTCATCATACATCAGAAGATACAGCGAGTCAGAATTAAAATATGGATAGAATTATCGAACTAATGCACTGAGAATGCAGATTAACTGCTCTCCTTTTCCAGCACTAGCAAAAACCTAATGGGCGCTCAACAGAAACACCAAAGCTATCAAAATAAGAGTACTGTCCAACTATACTGTTAAATGTAAGTTTATTTAATTCAATAGAACTCGAAAATGTTTCCTATTTTGAATGTCAGACTCTCTATTTATATATACTACTACTACTAAAAAAACAAAAGGAGTGGTGAGACCAAGACAAGACTGAGACTAAGACAAGATTTCTCAGAATTTAAAAATGAAAAGAAAGAGGAGAAAAACCACTGAAACCACTAAAAAGTTTCCTTATTATTCATTATACATTATACAAATATTATGAAATATTATTAGATTATAAAATTAGTCTAATTCTGCAGTATAACTTTGATAGTAGATTATTCCCTGTCCCTTCTTCTCTAAAATCTATTCAGAATCACCACGTAAGGTGAACTAAATATACACCAAACAGCATACATCCATTTTTATTATTAAATGAAAACATTCTGATCTGCCCAGATAAGCCATCATGGAAAGGTCAGTCAGACTTTATTTGAAATAAAATATAAAATAAAGGGTCCTAAAATCAAAATATCTGTGGGCCAAGTGTCAGGTGGTCTTCTCCAAAAAGGCCTGCTACAAAAAATGTAGGTAAAAAATGTTCTGTATTTTTTCATCTAAGTATTTCAAATATGCACTCATTTAAGTGCATCTTGGTCAGTGTTTATTAGCAAGTGTTCTTTTACCACAATCCACTACTCTAACTACTGATAATAATAATAATAATAATAATAATAATAATAATAATAACAATAAAATAATAGTAATAATGATAATTATTATAATTTTATTATTATTATTATTATTACTGTTATTTTATATGTTATTTATTATTATTATTATTATTATTATTATTATTATTATTATTATTATTATTGTAGTAGTAGTACCAATACATAGGAATTGACATTTAAGATGAACATTTTAGAGTTCTTCTGAATTAAACTTACATTTAACAATAGAGTTGCACAGGACTCTTATTATGATAGCTTTGGTGTTTCTGTTGAGTGCCCATTAGGTTTTTGCTAGTGCTGGAAAAGGAGAGCAGTTAATCTGTGTTCTCAGTGCATTAGTTTGATAATTCTGTTCATATTTTAATTCTGACTCACTGTATCTCCTGATGTATGATGAGTGAATTAGACTCATGACAGAACCCCAGGCCGCTAATGTAAGACTTTTGATTCAGATTCAAGGGTTTATTCAGACTGCAGCACTAATGTACAGACACAGTTAGCTGACTTGCTAACTAATCTGAGCTAAGTAGGTGCGGTCTTCTTGTACAGTGTCTGTTTTACTGTGTTGTTTCAGAATTATAAGCACATGTTAGTGCTTTATTAAACCTAAAGCTGCTGATGATGTTCTATTATGAGTGCACGCTAGCTAGATAATTTAGCTAATGTGAGCTAAGCTAATAAGCAGTAAAACGTTGTGCCTCAGATATGAAACAGAAATATGTGTAACTAATGTACTAGCAGAATATACTGTGATTGGTCTCAGCTCTCAGACTTTCTCCTATTGTAGTAATGACAGATTTTGATTTCATTTTGTTTGGGTGTATTATTTTCAGTGATATAGCTAGCTAACCCAGGGATGTTTTCACATTTGGACCGTTCACAAATGAAAAATGACTCAATAAACAACTTACTTACTCTTGCTTTTTTCAAAATTTGTTTATTATTAATTTTGTACTACAGTACATAATTTCTACAGGGGTTTTTTATTTCTAATGTAGTTCAATTTATAATACAGTTCCTGATCATGATTAACCCCTAGTTTATTAATAGTGAGTTAACATGTGTTTCACTGCATAATACTGTTCCTGTTCATGATTAACTTCTAGTTCATTAATAGTGAGTTACCATGTGTTTCACTTTATAATACTGTTCCAGATTATCATTAACTCCTAGTTAATCAATGATGAGTTACCATGTGTTTCACTTTATAATACTGTTCCTGATCATGATTAACTCCTAGTTCATTAATAGTAAGTTACCATGTGTTTCACTTTATAATACTGTTCCAGATCATCATCAACTCCTAGTTCATTAGTAATGAGTTAGCATGTGTTTCACTTTATACTGTTCCTGATCATCAATAACTCCTAGTTCATTAATAATGAGTTACCATTGTTTCATTTTATGTTGTTCCTGGTCATCATTAACTCCTAATGAAGAACAGCAACACCTCAATCATTATCTAACAGACAGTAATTACATAATCGCTTGGTAATATGTAGAACCAAGTGAATTTGAAGGTAGGACACATACACAGTCAGATATTTCCATGAGCCCTCTCTTCAACTGACCCTGCCCTCAAGAGGACATTAAAGGAGAACTAATGTTCAGAAGAAACACTGGCACATGTGCTCCTCCAGAAAACAATGGTGTACTCTTTTCTAAAGATGAGAGGTAAGCAGACTGGTCTACTGAATGCCAAAGTATTTTAGCAGTTGTCCAATTTATAGGCTGATGTGCAAACTGGTTCACACTGCCAAATATGAAGATGTACATGAGCCTTTTAAGGTTTCTGATCAAAACAAACACAAGAGGGACACCAATCATTACAGTGTGGTGTGATTCCCCAGCCTTCTCTGAGGATACCTGTTTCTGTGAATAGAAATGGAGAGTATAATACATTATATTGTAGAGACTGCACACTGTGTAGTGTATTTCACTACTGTTAGAAGTGTTGGAATACACTACATCAGTTAGTAGTTCCGCAGGAAACTTGTCAGACTCAGCTATTGAGCAATTAATGTTGAACTGATCAGTAATTTATGAGTAGTTATTCTAAGAAACCATAGTTAATTCTAGGTAATAGGTAATTCTCTATGAGACTCAGTAGTTATTGTTTAGTTAATAGTGAACTACCCTAATCATTAGTTCATTGTTACCTACTGAGTAGTTAACTAGTAGTCCTTGGTAATTAAGAGTAGTTACTCAAGCATTAATGCAGAACTACTTATTTGTTTTTGCTTAGTTCCTGATTAGTTACTTATTAACTACGAAACAGTATTGTAAAGTGTTACTCACATTATTTTGTCATTCAGAGATTAGAGTTCTGCTGTTCATATCAACTTTACTCAGGCAACTGGTTCACACTGTGTGTGTGTGTGTGTGTGTGTGTGTGTGTGAGAGAGAGAGAGAGAGAGAGAGAGAGA